GGGAAAGGAGTTGTTGTTCTGTTTCCCAGCACTGTCCACGCAGAGCGGAGATAACATGAGCTGCCCACGATCACACAAAAAGTCTTTGGCAAAGCCAAAGGCAGACTTCACTTTCCTCAGGTCCCAGTTTAGTGCCTCAGTTTATTTGCTCTTAAGGGAGTTTGCTTGGTAACATAGGAAATGAATTATATGCAGTTAAACTGATGCCAGCCTAGAATGCAGGGGCCAGCTAGAGACTAAAAAAAAAAAAAAAAAAAAGAGGAAATTCAAGAGAAAAACAAAATGTATATTCACATTTTTTAAAAGTATTGTGGAGTGAGCAGGCAACATCTGACATTCTGCCTGTATCACCTCATAACTCCAGGGATTTTAAGGGTTGTGAACAGAAACCACAAGTTTTTGAATTTCAGCTTTGGGACCAGACTTTGCACTCACATTGGTATAAATCCAGAGGGATTTAGAAATTTGGAGGAATTCTAGTCAAGACATAAGATTAAATGAGAACCAAAGTAGGTGCAGAAGGTCATAGACTAAAAGGCAAGGTACGTTATTTCACTTCGGCTTTACAGTTGCTTCTGAAGTTCAGCTGTGCTAGGCTAAGGCAAGGGATCTTTGCCAGCTCTCAGAGGCTGATCCGTCTGTGAGATTGATGGCTGCCATGGACCCAAAATCAAGGATTGTTTGCAACCTGTTGAGTGTAGGAAATAAATGAGGTAAAAGATTTCATCTAGTACCTGCTGAGCAGGTAGGCAGGCAAAGCTGGGGATCTTGGAGAAGAAAACTCACAGGAACATGAACAAACCTTTCTGACAAGCCAGGCAACTCCAGTGTGCAACACCAAAGATTAGTTAAATCTGGCATTCTCACACTGCCCCCTGCGCCACCCCCTGCCCAGGTCCCCAGGACTGGGATGACAAACACAGCAATGAGCAGTATTCTGAACATGTCTGGTTTTCCTTTTCATCCCGCCAGGGCACAGACGGTTATTTTGCCATAAAAGGAGTTAATAACCCAGAAATTTATTTACAAAAAGCATTGGACTACGAGAAATTTAAATTGACAACGTTGGTCTTGTATGCAAGGGTGAGTCCTTTAGAAGGAACAAAATGCCTTGTTTGCCCCAGTCTCTCTTCACTGAAGGGTAAGTCTGAACGGGAGATCTCTGTGATGGCAGGTGGGAGGGTAGATACTGGGGGGGGTGGGGTGGGGGTGTGTGTGTGAATTTGGAGCAGCCTTCTGCCCTCTGTAACTACACAGTGACAGACTTGCATTCAGTCCACCTTTGTCAGCAGAATGAGATCATTCGCTGCCTTAGCTAATCTCACATAAACTGATAAGCCTCAGACAAAATGGAGTTACAACAAAAAAGCCACTGGCTTTTGCAGATGGGTTGTTCTTTCAGCAATAAAACTTTCCTCTCACAAGTATGCTTTGCCTTTGGGTGCAGGACAGGCCTGTGGGCAGCAACGACGCCACCAACACAGCTACCGCAACGATAAACGTGTTTATTGAACAAGCTGACACCAAATCACCCTGGTTCCTGCCCTGTACTTTCATTAACACGGACCACAGCATTTGCATCAGCAGCCCCTATATTGGGAGGGTCAATATCTCCGAGATGTCGGTAAGCAGGCATGATCAAACAGTATCCTTGGCGCTATTCTCAAACAACATCCAGGTGCTATTCCCAGAGGGTAGTGCCTAAGAATTTCCAAGAGCTCATGCTGATCTCCAGGCACAAATGCAGATGATTCAGCATGACAGGGAGCCTTCATCATCCTGAAAAGTGGAGGTTCCCCCAACCCGAGCAGCACTGTTTGTCCTTGCTCCTGCAGCATGTCACAGGAGAGGTGGGAGCTGGAAACCCCTTTGTTCCAGGCTGTCTCACCTCTGCCCTGTTACAACCACCTCCCAGCAATAAATGCCATTCTGCCCAGACAAAACCACCAGAGCCACACTGGGACGGGAGGATGCTGCAAACGCTAATTTGGTGCTGCGGTGTGGTATGTAATGCTTTGCCTCCTTACTGCAGACGGAACCACTCACCCTAGAGCCGGGGCCAATCTACGCTATTGATCCTGACTACACTTTAAATGAAAAAATCGTGTACAGTATTGTTGGTGGTGAGTAGAAGTTGTCACCTTCCACAAACAGCATTGCTCGTGTGTCCCCTACATCACCTGCCAAGAGGAGACACTTTCCACAGCACTTGAGAGTTGAGGACCTGGGCATTTTTCCCTCTGTTTCTGCCACAGAGACATAACTAGATTCACAGAAAGTTATGGTTTCAGTAGAAGAAACAGACTGTACAGAGAGCTTCCTCTGTACAGTCCCACAAACCAATTTCAAAAGGACTTTGTTTTTTGGGAGGTGAAACGTGTTATTTCAAGCTTTTAGACTTGATTTTGCCAGTCTGGTCATGCCACTTTCATTCGGTCTTCACGCTAAACCTAAAATTCCCACATCATCAGCATAATTTTCATTCATTGCCAAGAATTATGTTTTTATCCCTCATTGCTACTATCTAATCTGCCCTGTTTTAGTCTTGATTTCAAAAAGATTACTCGAATACATTCAACTGATTGCCCAATCATTGACTGGGCTATTTATTTCATTCAAAGGATTTCTTTTTTTTTAAAAAAAAAAAAATAGTGGAATTTTGAATAACTATCAAGGCAAAGGTAGATCATACTGTTCAGGTGGAGTGATCACTTGTTCATCTCCTGTTAGGCACTAGGAAATGTAAATCTTTGCTGTCCTGCCTCATCTAGTTGGGTTCTCATACACTTTCTCGATGCTTTTTTTTCTGTTGAGTCCCTCTGAATTCCTGGCCAGCACTCGCAGCCCTTGGAGCAGCCAGGCAGGCAAGGAAAACAGCATTATGCCCTGGGGGTATTGCCACTAGAATGTGGAAAAAATGAATCAATGAGCTCCAGGTCGCTTTACGAAGGTATCCAATGATGGAATAGTCTTTCCATTTTCTTTAGGGAATACAGACAAAGTATTCTCCGTGGATGCAGACACCGGGAATCTAACTATGAACAAAGCAGCGACCTCCCCGGACCGTTATCTGTTGCAAGTCATGGTAAGTCTGATGACATGCCAGACAACAACCCAGCATAGCTGGCTTTCTAGGAAGCTGCAGTCTTGATGTGACAGGAGACAACTACACTAACAATTAAAGCTAACTCAGTTACACCCCTTCTTTTGGAAGGGCCTAGTATTTGACCAGTGTCTCATATCAGCTTACATGAAAAGCTCTTACAGGAGTTAAGAGGCATTTTCCCTTGTGTGTGTGTTGCAACATCAAAGCAAATTAACTTTTTTGTTAAATGGGGATGCCCTGCTGAGTTGAAAGTATGGAGGAGTGTAACTGGAAGGCTTTCTCCAGGCATGGCTGGAGCTTGTGTTACAGTAGTCAACCTTAGAAACAAGCTCCTCTTTCGGGTACAGCTCAAGGGGAAGGGAGGGAGTTGAAAAGCACTCCCTGCACATACATAGCCAGGAAGTTGTGGACTCAACTGACCCAAAGCCTCACCAAGATGTGCAGACTCTGCCTGCTGGTGCTGGAACCTCACTGCTTTGTACTGGAGCATGGCAATCTGTCCAGAAATGGCCCTTATAGAGGGTCATATCTAGACCAAGACTGTGGAGGGCCAACAGCAGAAGCAAGGACTCCAAACCCATCTCAAATCTCACTGAAAAAGATGGAAAGAATCCCATGGGTTGCAGTGGGCTTCAGATCAAACCTCTCCTTTTGTGTCTCACCACTAGCATCTCTCTCTCTCTTTCTCTCCAGGCCACCCAGGTCAACAACATACAGAAATACTCCATAGTCAGTGTAGAGATTAAGGTCATCAATAAAAGTGATTTTGCACCATACTTTGAGAGCAGGATCTACAACGGGACAGTACTTGTTGGTCTGGCCCCAAGAAGCTTTGTATTCCAAGCTGGTGAGACTTCAAGACCCCTAATGATAACAGCAGCGGATGATGATTTCCCGAATGTAAGAAACTGAAAATGCACTGCATTCTTTCTCACTGCTTCAGGCTTAAAGCAGGATGAGAAAAAGTGAGGAAAAGGAGGTGAGGAGAAGCAAACACATATTTTCCTCTAGTGTTCCATATTATATTTTCCTGGAAATTCTACATAGACCAGAACTGCTTACGGTGTGATACAATGTGGAGAAGCTGCTGGAGTCCTCTCTTCCAAAAGTCAGTCCCACCCAGATCTATGTAGGTGAGCTGATCCACAGCAAAACAGCACGCTGAGTAAAGCCCAGGGTTAGCAAATACTGTGAATGGGTCCAGATCTGAATTAGGGCTGGGTTTCCATAAAGAGCTCAGGGTGGCAGGATCCCAGGAGGAGGTGTCCTCTCTCTGCCAGGTCAAGGAGAGCTATTTGTGGACCGGCCTGGGAAGAGGAGCCAGTCCAAAGACAGCAGACTAGCAAGGACCTGCAGTCCTGGGCCAGAAATTGTTAAATTTTCCCTGTAAGGACTCATTTTGAGAGAGCCATTCCTGAACAACCTCCTGGGAGAAGGAAAGGGGAAGAGAGGTACTGACCAGCCATTCCCGTCCCACTCTATTAAATAAAGAAAAAAGCGCTAGTTTCATTGATGCCAAGGTTTCCATAAGAAGGCTGGGGATCTAGCAGAGGAATAAAGGCCTAGACACAAAGGAAAACACTGTGCAGACCTCAGCACAAGCATTACTCTCCATGTACATCCCCCTTCAGTGCTGAATTAAAGACAGAACTCACCAAATTTACAAGGTCCCTTCCATAGATGTGTTTTGCTTGGGCAAACTAAAGATACCAACACAAGCTGTATAAGACTTGACATATTTGGGAGGCAACGCTTTTAGGATACATCCTTGAACTCAGCAACAGGGTGAACACACTTGAGTTCAACCTTTCTCACCTCCTCAGTCCAGCTTTATTTATGCACCTGCTCAGACTTGACAAGTCCTGCCAACAGGTTGTTATGAAGCTGCAGGCAAAACACAAACGGTGAGGTTTAATCATTCACTCTTCTGGCTTTTCAGAAAGTCAACCCAAACATTGAGTACTACATAAAAAACAGCACGGATTTCATTGCAACCAGAGATGGACTCATCCTGACAAACGTGATGCTGCAGACACCGGGAACTGTAACCATCGAGGTAGGGCAACTTTCTTTGTTATCTTGCCAGGGCTGTGGAAGGAAGGGGTCATTTCTAGTAACATGGGTGGAATTCCATTAGGTAAGGGATATAATGAAAGGATAGTCCTTGCTTCAACCATTTGCATCATAAATATATAGGGATGGAGGGAGATGAAGTGATAGCAAATTTATTCTCTGGTATTGATACAGGCTATATCTAGTCTATCGACTTTCTAAGAAGCTAGATGTCACTTTGTCCATCTGCCTGCCAGTGACAACGGGCTCCCTCAGACTTGCCTAGCACAACACCATGCCCTATGGAGCTATCTGAACCAGCTCGACTAGAGCATCGTTTCAGCTACACGGGCAGGGCAGAGAGAGGTGCCACCACATGCTGCTGCCTGCCCCACACTGCCTCGTTGTCTGTGTACAGCACTGTGCTGCAGAGTGCACCTGGTTGTGGCCCAGGACAGGGAACCTTCAGAACTCTTCTTCTGTGACCAGATTGTCCAGCTATGATGCAGTGTGGCTATAGCGAGGATATGGACTAGATACTTTGTCCACAAAGGGCCCTCCATGTACTTTGAGAGTGAGCTGGAGATCTAGGAAGTCCCTCAGCTATCTCTTTCCCATGTTCTCATAGGCTGTTGGAAAAGACACGGTGAGTCTGCAGGAGGCAAGCACTGTAATCGTGGTGGAGGTCATCCTTGCCACAGGTAGGCTGGGTGTCTCTTCGTTTCCTGCTTTGTGAAGATGACTGGGGAGTCTTTTCCGCTTCTGTGGGTAAACTGGCAATGACAGGTCACCCACTGAAATCTGTGGACCTGGGCTGAGGCCAAGCCCATACCTACAGGAGGTTCTACAGTGGCTGTAAGAGAGAAAACACTCAAACAACTTCCTTATGATGTGGTCACCACATGCCTCAAACAGCCTCCTGAGACTTTAAGTAGTGCTGTGTATTGTGGTGTCCTTTCTTGTTATTCCAAAGCTAAATCTGGGGTTGCTTCATGCCGTTTTGTGGGTCAGAAATAACCCAGGATATCTTACCATGGCAAAGGAAGGCTGCCCTGTCACCTTGGTACATTACTGTTTTCAGCCAAAACCAGAAAAATGCAACATTATTTCTTGTCTTACGCAAAGCGAGCAGAAGGTGGCACACCCCCCCAAAGCCAGGCCTCCTCATGGGCCAAGGCATTTTCTCCTCGGGTCAGATCGAGTTCTTATACTCCAAGATTTTAAGGTCTTACCAGGAGAAATTACCCGTGAGAAATAAGATAGACATGGGGCTGCATACACAACCCGCCAGCTATCATTTGGCTCTATTGATGTAAAAATAGCTTACACTTCCATACTTCTTAGAAATGGCTCTTAAATAGGTCTTACAAATCAGTTAGATTTGAAGCTTATGAAACTTCTTATGCTTTGGATTAAGATGAACCAATATAATGTATTTTCACATCCAGATAGGCAGATAATGCCCAGATTCACCAGTTTCTACAAGATGATGTGTGATTGAAGCTCCCAGTTGGGCTCTTCCATTACTTTACCCTCTTATCACCACCACTGTGGGGATTTCTGGAAGAAAAAAAAAAGGCGGGTGCCTGGGTGTAAATTTGGATTCCCTAAAGGCAGTGTCACTTTACAGCCAAAAACACTGGCTGCATAAAACACGCAAAAACCCAGTTTAAGGGCACAGTCCAGCTCAGCAGAAAGCTAGTTCAGGTGTCAGTGCACAGAGCTGCAAATGCTCCAAACAGACGAACCAACACTTCTGTGCAACTTTTAATGTTGCCCTTGCTATTTAAACCAACCAAATTAATGATGCTGGTGACTATGCAAAAAGCGACTGAAATTACACTGAATGGCTCAGAGCCTATGAGAGGAATTGTGCTTTATACTACAGCCAGCATCCAGGAATGGCCTAAACAGAGCTGAGATTTGATGGCAAATCTGTAGGATACTTAACTCTCAATTTGAGGAGGTGGTGTGAAGGTATGTGCATGCAACAGGTTGGAGAGTGCTTTACTGAGCATTCCAATATCCAGGGGGTAAGTAGAGGCGTTTTAAACATATTTTCCTTCTGGGAAGTAGTAACTGTACCTTGGCCTCTGGTTTCTGAGACACTGGGGCTGGAGCCAGCTCACACAGATCTCCAGGTGAGCCATTCCACCAAGCTGAGCCAGCTTTCACAGAGGCACTGTGCTGCACGGCACAGAAGGAGTTAAGGGCGGTGGAGTTTCACATCAGCTCTGTGGGCTGTGGCTCCCTAGGAGACGCGATTAAGAAGCAAAAATGCACCGACATCCTAAACCCTTACCAACGTATTAATGATAAACTGAGGGTGCAATCAAATGTGGAGGGAATACTCAAAGTCCATTGTCATAAACAGGGCAGCAGGAGAACAAAACTGTGTTTCATTAATTGTTTAACTTTAAAGAGACTGATTTACACCACAAAATGAAGCTGAAAAACGTAAAAATAAAGAATCCCATTGACAACAACAAGCAAAGCTCATTAGCTCTGAGGAAGTTACTGTCTTTCCACTATAATGCTGATCTCTACAAATATGCTTACGCTGACTGGTGGCTGAAAGCAGAAGCCGCTCCTGAGAAGGCTGGTGTATATTGCTACAGCTACAAAAGGGCAGGAAAGGCTTTCCTGTCCCGGGGACCTTCTAACGCTTTTACTATTTCCTATTATGCTGTTTTATTTCTTATTTTAGTGTGCTCATCGGTATTAGAGGTGATGTTCTGGATTAAAGGAAACTTTGCATTTTCACACGCATAGGTACAAACATACCTCATTTTTGCATTCTGGTGTAAATGGGTGAAGTGAGAAAGCAAAAGACCTACCTGGCTTTACTCCATGTAACATCTGCTTGCCTAACAGTCACATATATATCAGCTTAGTTAAACCATGGGGTAAAAGTCATTGTCCTGTAATAGGATGTTATTTCCACTTCATGTAACTTATCAGAAGTTACGATATTCTGTGAGTGACCACCTTAAAACAACCCTCTGCTTTTAGGACAGCAAACAAGTGGCCTTCTGTGATACCAAGTATATCACTGTCACATCCTGCAGCACAGGATTCTTTGCCCTTCAAAAATTGGTTGGAGCCTCTTCCACAATGACAGGTGGTGTTAAAAAAGCTAGCTGCCGCGTTCAGGCTCTGTTACTGCTTCATTTTTCTTGCAGCTGTAACCTCCTCTGATAAGATACACACTGCTCAGGACATGGCTATCTTAGGTGGTACATTAGCAGCACTGCTATTAATTGCCTTAGCCTTCCTTGGCGTGATGATATACAAACAGTATGGAAAACCAGTCAAACACATGGTAAGGAAAAAGGTAAGTGCTTGTTTGTACCTGAATTTCTTAAAGTTAGAAAGCAGGATCTGAGGAGGTTTTAAAGTGTGGATGGGCTGTCCAAATACTGCACATGTTTGTGTGAAGGTGATGACTCACTCCTGAGACAACGTTTGCAAAGGCAGCGTCACTTTGGTGCTGTTTGCCGTTGTTGTTCTCTGCCCCCCGAGGCTGGAGCTGTATGGTAGATGATGAGCAGACACGGTAAGGAGAGGACCACAGCTCCACGGAGCACAAAATCTAGGATGAATGTGACACATGTCAGAGGTAGTCTCTGAAAAACATGCATGTGTGGTATAAACCATCATTCATCCTCCCTCTATAGTCAAAGGAGAGAAATGTCCCTTCATATCCTATCCTAAAGCCTGGGTTTAGACAGTTGTCTGCACTGGAGGTATTTACTTTTGGGTCTCTCAAGTCCCTGGCAGACTGGCTACTTTGAAGTTTAGGGTATAATTTGTCTGACCAGATGCTGGTCTCTGCCTTAGTGTGGAAACATCAGGAGGCTCCACTGACTACAGCGTGAGTCTGGAGTATGTAGCTCAGGTGAATAACAACAGTCCTTCACCCTGAGTGAGGGAAATGCCACTCCAGAGTAACACCTCAAACACATTGCTGGTGCTCAGCCCTCCTGGAAAACAAGCCCATGCTTATCTGAAAAAAACACAGAAATGGAGTCAATAAAAAATAGGTGTTCTAAGGAGCTGTATCTTTCCCAGGCTTCAAATAGGTCTAACTGCAAAACAAGCTGAAGCTTTCCTGAGCAGTAGCT